TGATATAAGTAAATGATTAGAAAATCAAAGATTATCGTTTTTCTTTGATTTTCTAATCATTTACTTATATCAAAGTAGTCATTACGTATGTAAAATTTCGTTTCATTTTGACGACTCCTTCTTGGTGCGCTAATTTTTTTGTCCATGAGTGTATTTTAAAGAAACATGAAAATTTCTAAACTTTTAAGTGACCCCCGAATTTTCCAAAATTTTTAAAAGAATTTTTTACGAAACATTTTTAATAAAACTATTATTATGCTTTAATACTTATTTATTTTTAGATCCCCGGGTTAAAAACTGGCCATTAATGCAGACTCCTTTTCCTGGCTATGCCATGATAGCAGCTTACATCTATTTTGTGACAGTAGCTGGACCACGGTTCATGAAAAATCGACAACCCTATCAACTAAACACACTTATGGTCTTTTACAATTTTCTAATGGTCATAATTAACTTCGCTGTATTCATGGGAGTAAGTAATTAATTCTGGTTGCTTGCACTTAATTGATATGATTGGAAATTTTAAATTATATGGGATTTTTCTTCCTTCAGATGGGATGGTATGGATGGTTCAATGATTATAGTCTTGTTTGTCAACCAGTCGACTATTCTAATGCACATAAAGCTGTTATGGTAAGCGAAATGTCTTCATAATCAATATTTTTAATCGAAAAGTAAAAAAAAAAGTATACTTTGTAAGTATTTTCTATAAAAAATATTTATAATGTTTAAGTCCATTGTTTGTATGGCCTTATGAATGATTTTGATATTAATAGTTTAATAAGTATTTTATGGAACATACTTTAAATTGTTACCACATGAAGGAAAGAATTACCCAAATGAATGGTTTAAAGGCCATATATTTTTGTTTTGTTAACCAGATTTTTTTTACCTGAAATTGTTTTATTCGTATATAAATGAAAGCACCTATTTTAAAAGTATTTCACTTTTTCTAATCATTATAATATTGTAATCGCATTGTTGTCATCACCAATTGAAGAATAATATACCTACAAATTCAAAGCGATGTCAACATATTTATAAAGTTGCTTTAAAATATATTGCATCATTGTAATTAATAAAGGTTTTAAATCATGATTAAGTACAGATATAATTTCTAACTGTTAATAATTATTGTATTAAAATTGAATCTATATTAAATTAAAATAAACTACGTCAATATATTGGTGGATTTTATAACAGATAATTGATGTATCAATAACATTTATGCATTAGTAAAATAATTTGTGAAAATAGTTTGATTATTTGATTAATTACCATAATCTTGATACAATTGATTCCCAAGTGGATACTAGTGGATTGATACAATTGATAGATATATTAATTATATACCTAAGTTGTTTTATATATCTTCCCAAAATGAATTTTAACAAATAGCATTTGTTAGAATTCCTTTTGTTATATAATATTTCATTCATATAACTTTTCCCACTTATTCAATCATTCAGTATCGTTAGTGGTTGTAACAATACAAATTTTTGTATAAAGGCAACCAATTTTTAATGAATTGATTTTTTTCCAAATAAGATCGATAAATATTGCATCAGTACAGAAGTTACATTGCTTGAAGGTATGGCATATGGTACGTCATACTGTAGGTACATTAGTTTAATAACTTAAATTTCACTAAAATATGCGACTGATATCATGAAGGTTAACTCAGAACAGTATAGCTAAAATCAGCATCTGAAATTTTCCTACGAAAATTACTTAAATCATCCCAGTAGCTTAGATAAATATGGATGATGGTTTATAATTTAATGTCTGAATTAAAAATTTATTTATGAATATAAATCTTTTTTCATTTTCAGATGGTGCGATTTGGATATTTATTTTATTTAACGAAATTTGTTGAGTTTTCTGACACGGTAAGTTCACCTTTATAGTTTGAAATAATACTTCTTAATGCGCTTATTTAAACTACAATTTAATGCGCTCAAATTTTATAGTTCAAATGGTTATGTCCATATAATGTTATTATTTTTATACTTTTCACTTTTAACTCTTCTTTGAATTCAAACCACGCCGGAAATATGCCATATTCATCGTCTGAATAAAACCACATTCATGCTCCTTTCAGATTGCTTCGAAATTCGAGCTGGCTATGCTCATTCATTGGATACTTATGCATTCTAGTCTAGTTTTATTTCTTTACTCAAACTCATCTTAAAATAAGTACATTGTATGAAACATATGTATGCACATATGCATTTTATGCACATATTCATTGTATGGAACCTTTGATTTATGAACATTTCAGTGCTATTAGATTTCAGCGGGTCGTGAAAACCTATAAATCGCAGCACCAATTAGCATTCTAAGTATTTGCTGCATCAATACTTGTAACACCTATTACCATAACTCAGAGGTCGGAAATTGCAAATTAAAAGTAGTGAAGCTACTGTAGTAACTACTTCTTTTCGTAGTTTGTAGTGCAGAGTGTTAATTTCTTTTTCTTAAAGTAGTGCGATATTTAAAAAAAATATTAAATAAATAAATAAAAATAAAATAAAATAACAAAAAAAACAAAAACAAAAACAGTAGTTTGTAGCGATTTCTAACAACTACTTTTAACGTTAATTTAGAAAAGAAACACGGTTCTAGTGCAACTAATTTATCAAACTAGTGGGCTGCGCCTCCTGCTCGCTAACCCCCCAAAAATTGCTACGCAATCTTATATGGTTTGTTTCGCAAACCAAGTTGCAAATGCACAAGAATTCACAACAATCATTCAAATCCATAGAAAAACTTTTTTTTAAAAAAAATCTCATCTTTTTAGTAAATACTAAGTCATTAAAATAAATTTGAATTCAAATAAATGACATGTAATTCGTTAAAGCTATTAGAAATGTGCTATAATATAATTCGTGATATAAATCAAAAATCGTCAAATAAATTCGTAATATATAAATTCGTGAAAAAAAGCGCTTTCGACAAAATACTAAAATAGAGATCTATCGACAAAGACTACTCACTTTTGCCTAGCTTAATAGTATGAGATTGCCGCAGCTGATGCTCTGTGGTTATTTCAGTTTCCGTTTTTAAAAGAGCTGTATGTTGAACCACCTCAGCTAGATTTGGCATGTGACATTTTTAGCGGCAATCATTGGTCGATTCGCCGTGTAAGAGAAATAGTAACGTAGACAAAATAAAGCAAACGTTGCCACCGGCGGAAAAGAAATACAGCCAAAATTTGGGAGTCACGTAAGAGAATTATATATATTAGATTTGATGGGTACAAATATTTGCGGGTTCGTCAATGGATGGAATGAAAATGACTCTGTAGCAACAGTTGGGCGTTAACAGAAATTACGTATTTAAAATCCAATATAACTAATATTTAAACGAGCTATTACGAAAAATAGATAATTAAACACTTTGGCAACATTTTCACATGCAAATGCACACTTGTGAAACATTGATGTAATTTCAAAGAAAGGAAATGTATTTTTGATGTACGTCTGTAAGGAAATAGTGCATTAAACAATAAAAAAATTGCTGGTATTTGATAATTTCGCATATCTTAAATTAAATATTCGCTGTCGAAAAAGGCATGAAAGGTGTAAGGTTAAATGAACAAGTTTTTGGAAAATGTTTCGGAATAACAAACTGGCTCATGTAAACATGAATAAATATTCCCATATATTTAATGTAAGCCAATTACTCATTCATAACCATTTTGAGCATAGATGTAAAATACATTCTCCACTAAAGTTCGTCTTGTTGTTGTTCCGTATCCTCCAATTGTCTGACGGGGTCAGACAAGATCCAATAGGTTGTTGATCCTCAAAAAGTCGAGGACAAGAAGCTCGTCTTCTTAAAGTAGTGAAGTATTTACTACAATTCCAAAATAGTTTGTACTCACTACATTTAAAAAAAGCAATTATAGTTAACTATATTTGAACAAAGTAGTTGTAGCTGTAGTGGACTATAAAAATAGTGCAGTTTTTCCGAACACTGCCGTAACTAATTCAGCATAATTGGCTTTTTTTCTAACCTTTTACTAAAAGAGAATAATGCCTACATTTTCCGTGTATAATGCACGAGAACCAAAGAACCAAATATAGTTCTTAAGATTAAAAAAAAAGTATTAAAATAAAACTATTAATTTAAATTTGATTAGAATTTAAGCAGCATCATTCAAAATAAGTAGCGAAAAAGTAGGCTATGCTGAAAATTTATTTAGACAGTTGCAAATTTGTCTGTTTAGGAAGATTAAATTATGGAATTAAAGGATTTTAATATAGGAAAACCTTCATTAATGGTAATTGAAAACGAGCGTCTAAATAGACATAATTTATGCTTCAAATAGATTAGGTATGGATTTCTTTGGTAAATGCTGTTTATTTTATGTCTTTTTTTGTTTTACGTTGCTTTGTTTTTCACGTTCGTGACTTCTCAGTTGGTATTTCAGTTTTCAGTTCTTTGCTAATGTGAAAATAATTTTCTTAGGTTTTTTAACCATATACATTCGTACGCATTAGTGTTTTATATAACTAGATAGGTAGATAGAAGTAGATAGCAAACATAATCTTGTCTAAGAATACTGAATGAAATTACCGACAAGGTTGGGTCCACAACTTTTAATTGTGAAGATAATTTGTAAACAAGACTTGTGTTCCAATGATTATCAGTGAAATAAGTATTATGTCTTAATTACTCCATAGCTAAACTAACCTTTAAAATAATACAGTCTCTTAGTAACATGTAGTTCATAACATAATTACTAGATAGTTAATTTACAAACCTTGCCGAAAAAACTATGACTGAAAAAGAAAAGATCTCAATCTTTTATTATAAACCAATCATTAACAAAGCTCTTTTCACAATCTGTTTAGTATGGTTTCGTTCGAAATGGTTAATTTCTTAAAAAAGAAAAACTTGAAAAATCAAGTAAGATGCTAAAATGTATGTTTAAAATATACAGAAAAAATTGAGAATGAACAAATATTTCTTTTCCGATATTTTCTAAAATAAAAGGACCTATTTTTATTTAAGGCGTAATTATCGAAGCCACAAATACATTAGAAATTAAACTTATTTTACCATTTAAAATATGTAAGTTTTCCTTTTACTACTATTTTATGTCTTTTTTTACAGCTATTTTTCGTCTTCCGCAAGAAATATAGTCAAATAACAGCCCTGCATGTCATACATCACAGCATTGTTCCATTCAGCTTATGGTTTGGAATAAAGTTCGCGCCAGGTGGGTGTTTCATTACATTTATTCTTAGAACACTTCTAAAATACTAGTTATTTTACTTTAGAAGCATATTCAAATGGGAGAGAGATAGTTTTTAAAATAAATAAATTTCAGTTTAACCATAGAACTGGACGGGTGTCAAATATATATAAGTCGACTACAAAATACTTTATAATTGGTGTTAAACAACCGACCCAATTCTGAGTTTACGACTATCAACGCTCTACTCCGTAGCCTTGTAATTTTGAACCCAATCCAGAAGACAAGGAAACTCCTGGACCATTAGAAGAAAATTACCTTTGTGGTAGACTTTTTGATGGAACTAACTCGCATTTGCGTCACATGGAGAGGAAAACCACGCAAAACCCCGACGGTTGGCCTGACAGCAAATAGATTAACCCATTATCCGTTATTTTACCTCGGCGGCACTGTCATTGGTGAGAATCGGGTTCAGAATTCGTATCGACCAGCCATCACTGGGGTTCGAATCCGGGTCACCTCATTGGGAGGCAAGAGCTCTATCCCCTAAACCATTTCTGCTCCAGTAAAATATTTGATAAATTTCCATTATTCATGTTTAATCCATCTAAACCTATTCTTTTTGTAGTATTATTTTGTTTTTAACTCATTTAACTCATTTAACTTGAGAAGAATATGAAACAGCCAATTCATATGTCGGATGTACCTCTTAACATTCCATTCTCTAACCTTGAAACCTACTGGCAAATATCTCACACGGGTCAAGTAATTTTACGAACTGGACATACAGCAGGAGATTTTTAATTGGACGAAAGAAAATGCACAAAAATTTACCTAATTAACACAACTACTGCAAGATTCTTCAAAGCTAAAATCTATTTCACTGTTAATCAAATATTAAATGTGAAATTTGAATGTGTTGCTAGCGTTAAATATACATACGTATTTCATGGGTAAATCCAGTCAAAAACTAATTTCAAATTATACAATTGCGCAAACAAATTGTGCGAAAAAAAATATTATTAGCTAAAATGTGTTCTCATAAAAATCATCTAATTTAAGTAAAAATAAAAATTTCGTAGAAGGAAAGAAGTAATTAGTAATTATATAAACTGATCATAAAAGTAATTTTTTATTTTCCTTCGTCAAAATTTCGTTTAATTACCTATCATTTTATTTAATTAATTTGAATTTTTATTCATAATATTCAAATATAAATTTTAGAAAAAGCTTACTGCGCTAATCTTTATTTTATTAAAGGATTTTATTTCACGGAGAAGGAAATTCTGATAAAATTACCATACTATAAAGAAAAACCACAAGCCTGCCAATAAAATCGAAATATACGGTAATTAAACCATTTATATGGTTTCTAAGGTGCTTCAATAAAAATTATCGAGCATTTTGGTGCTCTCATAGAGTCAGAAACATGTCAAATGTTAGCATATTCTGGTAGTACTTATTTTCTATGTATCATGCAACGTTAGAGAAATAAGACAATATCAAAATTAATTAAGTTAGAAGAAAAACCATCATTAACAGGAAAGTTAATACGTAACTTTTAAATTTATCAGTCATAATTATTTCACGTAAACTTCAGTGTATTAATGACTATAAGGAAACTCGTTAAAAAGCAGATAAAATTGGAAACAAAGGCCAAAGATAAGAAGAGCTCAGGAAAATATTTATGTTCCATTAATTTAGATTTTCTTGATACATTGCTGTTGCAACTGTGCTTTTTCCGAGGAAAAATGGCTAAAAATATAAATATTTGAAATTTAAGATATAAAAAAAATTTATCCTTTTAGGATAAAATGCGTATATTTGTACACTTTAAAAATAAGCCAGAAAATTTACAGTTGAGAAGAGTAGAAATGCATGACTGACGAACTACACTGTAAAAAATTTTAGATCAAATTATAGTAAAATGGATTTTACGATAAAAATACCGACACTCAGAATGCCGGTACTTTTTATCCGAAAATCCATTTTTACAGGAACATATTACGGGGAAAAAACCGTTATATAAAAAATTTTTACCGCAATAATTACCGTGAAGTCACTAAAATTTTCGAATTATTTAAATATATCTGTAGAAATTACGGTATAATACATTACGGTAAAAATGGATTTTACGGAGGATGCATTTTAAGTACCAGTAATTTTTTACAGTGAATTCAGATATTGGTATGATACGAACTGGTCGAATCTGAATAATAATCCAACGAACTAGCCCCTGTATTATCTAGCCGCGATAGATCTGGGCACCATGCTGGCCATACAGTGAAAACGATTTTAAAATTGGATGAAATAAGTAAAGGAAATCCGGTAATGGCGTCATAAATGACTAGAAAAAGCTACCATGACCCTCTATTGACGTTAATCTTGACTTATGTAAGTGTTGAATAGTAATTTAACAGTAGATAACCCAAGGAAGTCATTTTGATTGCTTTTTAATTTCAATTAGAAAAACAATGATGTATATAATGACACAATTTCTTGTAGTTTTGCGAGTTTTATAATTATTTTTATTGTTGATATTTCCTAATAACTTGTTATATAACTGAAAATAATATAAAAAATATTAAAAATTAATTTTATACAAATTTCTTTATACATTAGTTATTCCTTCACAATGCAGTCATTTTGACTGGTTTCTGGCAATATAGGTATTTCAGTCTTTCTAGTGTTAAAGATTCCATTTAACAGTTATAATGTTTACCTCGAATTTTTCCTGATTTCAGTGTAACAACATTCATGGGTAGTAACAAAATGGTATGAGTAACATCATTAACCTCGAAACACTTGACTTTTCATGCTGAAATAATATGAAAAGTGCTGCTATTTATTAAGCGGTAATTCGTTTAGAGTTTAAAAAAAGTGAATATGTTCCGATAGGTATCATTTTTAATTAAAGAAAAAGAACATTTGTATGGTTTTAAATTGTTGTTATAAATATATGGTGGATTAAAATGTTTTGCTTATTTAATATAAATGCTAATAATGAAATTATGTTATTATCACGATTTAATTTTTTGGAAAATTACTTATTGTTATAGAGTTACGACACTAAAAGTTAATGAATCAATATCATAATAATACTTTATAACTTGATTATACGAAATTATCGAAAGTTGATTCTATTTTTTGTTATTGCACTTCATAACTTTTTAGAATGAAATCACAGGGTTCTGAAATGTATCGGAAACTGTCTGGACTTTTCCCTTACTGCGATTATTAAGATTTTGGAAATTATAATTATAATGACGCAGTTATGTTAATCAAAAATAAAATTATATAGTAATTTTTTAATCATGATGACGATTTAATTATGCTAATCAAATTTATGAATATTACGCTTTTATGTTAATACATTTATCTAACGTTATTATGAATAGAGTAAAAATAACACGATTATGATATGGTGAGGAAATTATATTCAAAATATTATAACAATATTTTTTTTTTATAAAAATCATTTTAATTAATGGTAGTAAAAAGTTGTAGTAAAAATTATGATAATTAAAATGATGCCTTGTAATAATTGCCTGCTTATTTAACCCATTATTTGTAGGTGGTCACAATTCCTTATTTCCATTGATGAATTCTTTTGTTCACGTGATCATGTATTCTTATTATGGATTAGCAGCTATGGGAGAAAAGTATAGGAAGTATTTGTTCTGGAAGAAGTACATGACCTACATCCAATTGGTTACTATTACTATTTATTAATTAATTATGACGTGACTAGAAAATAAGCAGTTTCACGTGTCATCTCGCACTCAGGTTTTGAAAGAGCTGCGCATGCTTATTAAGTATTTTTTTGCATTTTTTACGTTAACAGCCCAAACTTCACCTACACTGGCGCATGTGCACTTCAGATGCTCATGCGCAGTTACTCATGTACCAGAGCATGATGCATAAAACTGCGAAATCTCTCTATTTGCAATGAAGTGTCAGGTTTCAGCACTAGTTCGATTTTTTTTTCTTCTAAATTTTCGTATTTTTTTAAAAAATTCCTATTTCTAATCTTGTCTTCTTAAGGGATCGCAATAATAAAAGTTTAGCAATTTTCTTTTTTTTTTTTGTTCTTTTTTTCAAATTAATTTTTAATATCTTTCAAACACTTTTTTAATATTTAAAACAAAGATATATGGATCAAAAGAAAAATTAAAACACACTTTTTTAAAGTTTAAAAATAATTGATTGTTTTATCTAAAACACCAAATATATTTTCCAAAACACAAAAAGCCTCGATGAAAGATTTTTTCTACCCTCGTTGAAAGAAGTTGAAATTGATTTAAATTGATTTTGAAACCATATGTATTTTTTTTGTTCGATATGTATTGATTATTATTCATAATTTTAATCTGGTATCAGAACTTTCTGAAAAGTTTTATTAAATTAATTTTCATGTCTGACTAAACAGAATCTTCCTTTTCCTTCACTTTCAGCTATCTGAAAATTTTAGTAATCCAATTACAAAGAGAAAATAAATTAATAATTAAAGAATAAATTAATTGATAGATATTACTCTGAATCTGTGATGTGATCTTTTTTCTACAATTTTACTCTTTTGAATCCGTTATTTATTATTTGAGTGGGATGTTTAATTTTTTAAAAAATGCTTTTACAATTCCTTCTTATTTAAATAAGTTACACACGGTTGTAAAAAATAATAAAAATGGTATCCAGTAATATTAAAACTTGTAAAATAATTATTATATTAAAACTTGTAATCTTTATTCAGCAATGACGTGTTATGTAATGATACAGACAAAATGATATTAGCACCCCAAAAGATGTAAAAAAAATCAGTGCTTTGTTTCTAAAATTTGTTAAGTGTAATAAATTAAATATGAGATACCCGAAACTTGTGATTAAATGATAAAATGATTTAATGATTAAATGATAAGATTAAATGATTGTATGCGATAGGAATGCTGGAATAGAAGATGTCAGCATCATTTTTCAGATCAATCAATACAGCTGAGAGAAAACATTCATGTCGGTGATAATAATAAATAGTAAATTAAAATAGGACATAATAGGACAATAGGACATACTTAAGTCGTTCTCAGTCGGGTTTTTTTCTCGAAGTTCGGACACCAAAAAAGAATTTTTTTCTGAAAATTAATGTATGTTTATCCTAAATTCAAAAATGCAAAATATTTTTTTCCTCAAGCAGTTTTTTTGCTTGATTTATTGGTGAAGTATGCTATGTCCGATTCACTGATCTCCAGTTCTTCCTGCAATGCACCCAAATTTTACCTTAAAAAAATACACTGTGATAACATATTTATTAACTCTGTTGCTTTAAGACGTTCAAGATAAATATTATTTCCAATGAGCTGCACAATCGGTCTTGCCGATGAGCAGACCTAGTGCGTTCTCCAGAGGTTGTATCCACTCTTTCAGGACCACCACAATGGGTGAGATACCATTGGTCATGTTAGTTTGGACGTCTAGTTTCTGCCACACTAGATGGCAGCACCGAGATTCTATTGGGATACTAAAGTGCACTAGGAATTTAATTTTGCCGGAAATGCAAAGAGCCAATAAGGCACTCCAGGGATCTTTTACATGTCGCATAACCATACAACATGGCCGTTGAGGACTTTCTGCTTCCCGAAAATCCGGTGTCTGGGCCGGGGATCGAACCTGCAGACTTGGGCTCAGAAGGCCGACGACAAACCAACTACGCCACCCAGCCACTTTAAGATAAATACCTGCATAAAATAATCATTAAAATTAGGTAAAAAATATTTAGAAAAATAATTTTCGCATGATAAATTTAGAACTGTCATCTTTCGACTAAGAGATAAAAAATTCAGTGCCCTCGGACTCATTCTCTGAATACATCATAACTATTATGAAGTACAACGGTAACTCTAATGAAAGCGAAATTACAGAGAGTACAAATTGATTTTAATTTCAATGGAAGGCAGGAAATCTCACTGCGAAAAGTGGGGCCATCTCTTGGCAATATTCGGGAATAGAAAAACAATCGTGGGATTTAAAGAGACGTGTAAGTAGCGCCGAATTCAAAATTTCTAAGATGCAATTTTTCTTTTCGTCGTATGGCATGCGACTTCAACCATATGGGCGCAAAAACGAGGAACGTATGAGATAAGACGCCGACAGAGTAGGGGTTAAAATATAAAAGTTAATTCCAGCAAGAATAAATAATTAACTTGCATAAGTGTTTCATATTAATAAAGATAAGACAAAAGGGATGCATCATTAATTACATATGTATCANATTATGTATTGTTCTTTTTAAAAAATGCATGCATTTTAACTCGTAAAAATTCTTTTATTATTTTACAGCTTCAATTTGTCGTTATCATCGTCCATACAGCATCTCTGGTCATCAATAAATGTGATTCTACATACATTTTCATCTGTCTGAATTTCCTACACGCTTTGCTATTCTTTGGCCTTTTCCTCAATTTCTTCTTCCAAACTTACATGAAAAAATCTGCCCACAAGTCTGCGCAAGCTAAGCTATCGACAAATTACAAGTCCACTGAAATTAGCAATGGTAAATTGATGGAAAATGGCAACGGGAGTGCGAAGCACCGTCTTTCCTACACCTTTGATGATGGCAACGATGAAAATTCTAGAATTTGTCATGAAGCTCAACGTTGGCAAGATTTGAATGGCAATTACAATTCTGTTGTGAGCAATGCAAAGGAACGTGACAGTCCCCTTGGTGATATAACAAACGGTAAAGTGAAGAGTACGTGAGACTTATGATGTACATGAGACTGTACGCGAGATTTGTATAGGGTGTCCCAAAACAAACACATGACTTACACTTATATCCGAAAACGACAATATATAGAATCGATGATAGTCAATGTTTTGTCATGCTCAGTATGCTAGTGATTACTTTCCAACTAGCAGCAAACTACGCATACTCACATTTTATAGGATCTATTCAATAAATCTTAATCTATAACTCTTGGGTCAGTAAAGCTCGGTTAGTTATTAATCACAATTAGTTGTAGACCTGACTTATTTGCAATTTACATAACCTGGCCAAAATCTGGTACATACCTCAAAGTTTAATATTCTCAGACAGTCGGCAATAATTTTTTAATAAGTTGTGAGCCAGTATTACTTATATTTACACCTGTTCAAGAAAAGTTCATTCATGATTTACACTAGGTAATTTACATCATAATTTATAGCCATAGTTTACATCTGGTAATTTGCATAAATTCACACTGGTATATGTGATATTGAAAACTTATGACGGACTTTATTGTTTTTGAAATGGTACAGTTATATATCTTTGAATGTGCTCATTGACGAAATGAAGAAATCAAAATTTAACATTTAAATCACACTCGATGCGCTGATTTTCATTTAGAAGTAAAAAAATGATACTGATTTTCACTTTTGTATTGGTGGTGGGGTAGCTGACGTGAAATTGTGTAATTTTTAAAAAGAAAATTAAAAACGATTTCCTGTAAGAAATATAATATCTTTTTATGTGAACACAAAAGTCTAAGAATTTTCAATGTGAGCTTAAAAAATAATTTAAAAGAAAACTGTGAAGTATTAAATTATGATTCACATATAAAAAAAGCTCTAAAAAAATTGACATTCTGTCACTATTTCGTTGTGTCCCTCATACATGGAGAGAAAAAAATCTCTGGTGAGATTACCGTACTGTAATGGTAATATAAGTTCTGGTAATAAATAAATGAATAAACATCTGGTTAATAAAACCAAAATGTAAAGCATTTAACCCTGTCATTCGCAAATTTTTTCCGTTTAAATTGTAATGGTTTACTGGAAACTTTGGTTTTCAAAATAATATTTCTTATTGTCACACATTTAGTAAATACAAAATTGAAAAATAAACCTAGAACCGAATAAATGGTTCTTATACCGTGCTTCAAGATATCATGATAAAAATGACAAATTTCACCACATGTATCAGATTTTATCACATATTATGAAAACATATTTTATTGTTAATTTTACCGAAATCAATACCGAAGCGCTCCAGTGAATATTACCGAGCACGGTATACGGTAAATTATATTTTGATCATTCTGACCATTTTTTCCTCCCACAAGGGAGACTAGGGAAGTGTGACTCGCCAATTTTGAAATAAACTAGTGGGATGTATGCCTTATGAGGAATAATTTTAGGGGGTAACATTCGCTTCGGCCCATAGAAGGTCCCATGAGAGATGAAAAATAATTCAATATACAGAAAAATCGGTATTTTATTACTTCAATGCAGACTATTAATACACTTACTTCAATACACTTATTTTATAAACGAAGATCTACCTTAAAAAATAATTATATGATAACTTCTGTCTCATTATAAGCTAGGGAACAAAACGTATTTTTCAAGTATTGCCAAAATACTGTTTAAAAAGATACATCTTGTATATATATTTGATTTCTGGAAAATACACTTTTTTTAAGACTTTGATTATTTCAAAAATGTTTTCTTATATTTCGACTCTCATGTAAATGAAATTCATTTCTGTTCACTTGTTTTTATATTGGAAAATTTTTTTAAAACAAAAAAATTAAAAAAA